TCAGGTATGGCACACTTCCTTGGTTCATGTCTTGTGTCATGGACTACTAAAAAGCAAAATTCAGTGGCCTTATCTACTGCTGAAGCTGAGTATGTTGCTGCTGCTTCATGATTATGCTCAATTGTTGTGGATCAAGCCACAGTTGATGGATTTTGGTATTGAAGTTAGTTGCATCCCTATTTTTTGTGATAACACTAGTGCTATTAGTATGACAAAGAAATCGGTTCATCATAAGAGAACTAAGCACATAGATGTTAGACACAATTTTTTGAGGGACAACTATGAGAAAGGCTTGATCACTATTGAGTTTTGTGCTTCTAAGAAGCAAATTGCTGACATCTTCACAAAAGCCTTAAGTATAGATCATTTTGAGAGGAACAAGTTGGAATTAGGGATGATTAAGATCACCTAAAAGAACCAGTTTAAGGTTAAACGAAAAAACTGGAAAAAAAACTAAAAAAAATATATTTGTTTAGAAAGTCTATAAATTGTGTATAGTTAGATTAAATCTTGCTCAGTCTCATACTTTCTATAGTATACTCTTGTGCCATGTGTTAAAATGACTCATTAATCTCTAATGATATTTTCTCTATTTTGGCAAATTTAGACTTACACAAGAGAATTATCAATGAAGAACCTGGTTCATCAAGATAACATGGTATGTTTTCTACACTCTGCGTAATTTGAAACAACTATATTTGGATCATGAGCAGAGTCCTACCAAATACCAAAGTTCTTGTGAACTTATCCGCTACAAGTGAACCAGTTATGTTCAAGACTCATGACCGTATTAAACTACCTAGATTCTTTTAAATCTGCTACTCAGGGGGAAGAAAGTGGCTCTTCCGAAACTCAACAAGTATCTTCTGATTCTAAAGTTTCTCCTGAGACAATTTCTAATATTGCTGCAAATTTGGAAACTAGATTTGTAGGATTTATAGCAGGTGTTGAGACTACAGAATCTGGAGAAGTTGGTGGTAAAAATAAAAAAGAAAAAAAGGAGAGCAAGGGTGCTAAGAGTACTGTGAGGGGAAAGGGGACAAGAGTGGCTGATTTTTCACCCACTCCTGTGATTTTAAATAAGGACGCATGTGCAATGGTTGTTTGGGGAGATGAATCTGGTTCATCTGTAGAGGAAACCCTTGCAAGACCTGCAGAAGAAAGTGACTGAAAGCTATAATCCAACTTCTTGATAAAGTTATTAATGACACCAAAACTCATACCATTCCCTATGACTTCATTCTCACAATTGTGCTTGCACATTTCAATGTACCTATGAAAAGGTGGGAGGTTAGTACAAGCATGGATCATTTTTGGGTTAATACTCTGCTTACTTACGATATGAAGTCAATGTCACTCCTAAAGAACCTAGTTCATCCAAAAAGGTACCAGTAAATAGCAAGGTCAGAGCCTTGGTGGAAGAAAGTGGGGCTAATGATGTTGAGATTGAAAGACTGAAGAAGAGGTTGGTTGAGATGGAGACTAAGAGAGATGCTCTCAGAACTGAGCTGGCAAGAGAAAAAGAGAAGAATGATGGCATTCTTCAAGGTGTGCTGAAACTCCTCCAAGTTAAAAACCAAGCACCTAGTTCTTCCCAGCCTTAAGCCTCCTAGCATATNTTAAACGTAAATTGGGAGCAAAATAGCAAGGCTTTTTGCAAGCAGTTCGTGTGTAATTCAAGTGTGCAAACCTGAAGCTACATGAACCAGATTGAATAACTATCTCCATAAAGAGTTTTATGTGTCTTTCTTTATTTCTAGTTCAATTGTAGTAGGTGTTTTCATATTGTACTTTTCAGCTTTATCTAGAAACAATTGTAATAGGTACTTTGAGTATTCAAGTTAGAGTTAACTTGAAGTTATCGCAACAGTTAGAGGCTGGTTGCTATAACAGGATTAGAGGTAATTCTTAGGTTTACACAGAGTTTAGTAAATGCTATTTTGGCTTAGTGATTTAGTGAAGTGTTGGGGAAAATCCTACTGAGTAGTAGGTCGTGGTTTTTTCACCTTTTGAGCCGGGTGTTTTCCACATAAAAATACGTGTGCTCTTTACTTTTTATATTTATTATTTCGCAACAGTAGTAGTTGGAACACATAGAAGAACCAGGTCCTTCCATAAACAGTTTAAGCGAAAAATTGGTCACCACACAAATCACCCCCCTCTTGTGTGGTATTGATGTAAACATCACAAAGGTTGTGCAAGATTTACCAATAGACAAAGCTCCAGGAATGGATGGTTATCTAACTGAATTTTTCAAAGAGAATTGGCAAGTGATTGGTGAAGATGTTATAAAGGCAGTAATGCAATTCTTTGAAACAGGGAAACTACTAAGAGACGTCGATTGTACCACTATCACACTCATACCTAAGGTGACAAATCCAAATTATGTAAAAGAGTTCAGACCTATTGCTTGCTGCTCTACAATGTACAAAATTATAGCTAAGATACTTACTGCTAGGCTGAAAATAGTTGTGGATTACCTGGTGGGGCCTTCCCAGTCTGCATTCATAGAAGGGAGAAACATTTTGGATAATGTAATACTAGCTCATGAAATGATCAAAGGATACACATAGAAAGTAGTATCACCAAGATGCACAATTAAAGTGGACATTAGAAAGGCCTATGATTCAGTTGAATGAAGCTTCTTGAGAGATCTTATGCTGGAGCTTGGGATCCCATATAAAATGGTTAATCTCATTATGGAATGTGTAAGAACAGTTACTTATGCTCTTCTAATTAGTGGAGGATTAACACCTAGGTTTCAGGCAAGAAAAAGGGTTCAGGCAATAAGACCACATGTCACCTTACCTCTTTGTTTTGGTGATGGAATATTTGAACAGATCATTGAAACAACTGAAATCAAATCCAGACTTTAACTACTATTCTAAATGTGTAAAGTTGGGAGTGGTACATATTTGTTTTGTTGATGTGTTGTCGAGCAGACAAGGTGTCTATTAATCTCATGATGAAACCGTTTAAACAATTCTCTGCTGCCTCAATTTTGCAAGCAAATATGGAGAAAAGCTCACTGTATGTAGCAGGTGTATCGTCTCAATATAAGGATGAAATATCGGAGGAATTGCATTTCATCACTAGAGCCTTGCCATTCAAATACTTAGGTGTACCATTGTCCTCAAAGAAGCTCACTGTCAGTCAGTGTATGCCATTGGTGGACGGAATTGCAGAAAGGGTGAGATGTTGGACTGCTAGATTCTTATCATATGCAGGGAGAGTCCAACTAATTAAAAGAGTGTTGTTTGACATGCAAACTTATTGGGCACAGGTATTCCTGCTCCCCAAAAAAGTACATGATATGGTCATAGGAATATGTAGGAACTTTCTTTGGCATGGAGGTATTGAAGGTAAGAAAGCTCCTATTGCATGGGACACCATCCGTAGACCAAAAGCAGTCGGATGACTAAACATCATCAATTTTATTAAATGGAATAGAGCAGCAATAAGCAAACTTCTATGGGCACTCACATAGAAAAAAAGACAAACTATGGGTCAGGTGGATTCACAATCACTATATAAATAAGAAGGACTTAGAGAACATGGATACACCTAAACAGGCTAGCTCTGGTTAGTGAGGAAGATCTTCGACGCTAGAAAAAGGTTAGTTGTTGGAATCCAAGAACCGAAGTTGTATGTTGTTCAGGGGAAGTACACTATCAACAAAGCATATACTCCAATCCTACCACAGTTCCCAAAAGTTACATGGAACACATTATTCATGACACAAGGTATTCTACCTCGACATCAATTCACCTTGTGGGATTTAATTCATCAGAGATTAGCAACAGTGGATACATTAACCAGATGGGGGATACTAGTACCCAAAGATTGTATCCTCTGTACAACTGATGAAGAGGAAACACATGATCATTTGTTCTTCGAATGCCCATATTCGAAGTTTATATGGCAGAACATGCTAAGTTTGTTTGGCACGTATAGACAAATAAGCAAGTGGCAGGAAGAAGATGACTGGCTGTCTACAAAAACAAAGAGCAAGAACATACAATGGAAGATATTGGGGAGTGCTTTCGCAGCAACAGTATACCATATATGGATGGAAAGGATCCTTAGAAGATTTCAAAATACAAGAAAAGAGAATATGATAGAGTTAGAGAAATTGTCTTGCAATTGCACATTAAGGGAGAAAGACATTGTAAATGGAGGGCAATACTAGATAGGATAAATAGATATCCATATTAGCATATAGTCTGAGTTCCAGCTGTGGAACTTAAGTGATACGAAGGATAGGTTATTTTTGTGAGACCCGCCTCTAGAGTTCAATGAGCGGGCGGTTGTACATATTTACACTTGGTTAAAGAAAATTTTCAGTTTAACCCAAAAAAACTTTCTACGTTTAGTTATGGATTTATTAATAATGCATTAGTTTTATTTAATATTTAATTAGTGAAATCTACATATCTTTTGAGATTTTAAATTTGAATAGTTTTCTTATCATTTATATGTAACATTAGAAAGAAATTTTTTTTGATTGTTAGATAATTTTTGTCTATAATAGTTAATTTTTTTAAAATTTTTAGTATTGTTATAGGTGTATACCAATCACTTAGAGGCCGTTTGGTATGAGGTATAAGAAGGTATAGTGCTGGTATAAAAATTCAATACCACCTTAATATTTTATTTATTTAGCAAACTTGGTATAAGTTATATCGGTATTAAAATTAGTACCGAAATACTTATACCTTGTAGAGGGTGGGGTAATTAATGCGTGATAAGTTATACCTTCTTCTTAAAGATTATGCAATTGTTATTTTTAATACTAACATACCAAATATTTAATAATATAACAATACTAGCATAACTAATCCAAGCATATCTTATCCCGGCATAAGCTATATTCAAACCAAACAACTCCTTAGTGTAAAAGCTAAAAAATATTGAAATAAATGATGTTGTTATAAAAATGTTTGACTATATAAAATTGGATGTGAATCCAGATTAATTGATTACATGGGATAGAAGAGAAAACAAAAACCCAAGGGGCAAGCAGCGATACAAAAGAGTATAGACAGCATATATTTCGAAGTAACCGTTGTTGTGCACTTGTAACCCCATTTCTATTTTCGACCATCTCTTCCTTCCTCCTCCATTTTTCCTCTCCTTCTTTTTCCATAACTCCATCTCCTTCTTGACCCAATAAAAAAAAAAAGAACAGGAAAGGCAAGGGTTATAATTTTTAGTTGTGAAAAGAGATGATTCCGCAGCAATGGGCACCGCCGTGTAACAATCAGTGCACCCATAAATACGCTGCTCTCATGCAAATCCCTTGTAATTATTCTCTTCTCACTCTTGTAGATATTTTTCTTTAAATTCTAAATGCATTTACTCTGTGTCTGAATTTTATACTATGTTAATGTGTGCTATCAAAACAAGAATAATCTCCATTTTATTTTTGTTTGATGGGAGGAAAATAGTGGCCATTTGCTATAGGATTTTGGGAATTTTATGTAAAGGCAGAATTCTTATGTTAATTTTCCAAGTGGGTATGACTAATTGTTCAAGAATAATTAAAAAGAGTGAAGTTTTATGCGCAGATGGTCACTTAAAAGCTATATGTAGGTCACTCACTCTATTTAATGAGTATTGATTGATAAGTAACCTAATATAATATGTTAAAATGCACTGATGGTGTAAAAACTTTCATTGCAACAACAACAACAGACAAAGCCGGTATCTTTAGAGCTTATGGTGGTCTTTCAAATTGATTACATTGTTTATTAGCGGTAACAACCTCTCTACCCCCTCGGGATAGAGGTTAGGTATGCGTAGTCACTAACCTCCCCAGACTCCACTTGTGAGATTTTACTGGATCGTTGTTGTTGTTGTTGTTGTTGTTGTTGTTTATTAGTGGTTGGTACCAAATTAAGAGGGTTTTTTTAATCAAAATGCATCTAAGCCCTATAGATTGCGATGAATTGGTTTCATGAATTGGTTTTCAGGTTAGTATGAATTTGAGTGATTGTTGAATATATGCATCCATCCGACATTTTATGCATGATATAGCATTATAGCTCAGCAGCATTGCGTTAGGCTGTTTTCAACTGTGTCTGGCTATTGAAGGAAGAGGTAGAAAGTATTAGTGCTTGGAGGAAAATTTTCAACTTGCCGTCATTAGGGTGCTATTTCTCTTCTATCCTAAGTATACCTAACAAACAGGTTTTGGTTGGACCCTGTGTTTGGTTGGATTTCTGTGGCATGCCGTTTCTTTCTCATTTGTATTCCTTTCGGCTCTTAGCAAACCCGATCTACCTTATAGACCGGTAAACTCAGACTACTGCTGACCGGGCCCGGTTTACCATCATAATCCGGTGGCTTGTTTGGCGTAACTCATTACTTACGATGAAGCAAATTCGAAGCATTCCTCTAGGCATGTGCATTTGGTTGGATTTCTAAGGCATGCTGTTTAATTCGAATCCTTCCAACTCTTACCAAGCCTATTCTACCTTCGTAGTCCGGGGAACTCAGACTACTGCTGACTGCGCTGGTTTTACCATAAGCGTGTTTGGTGTAACTCATTACTTACAATGAAATGAATTGCACACATTCCCTTTTGTGCAATTTATGGTTAGCTTACTGAATTTTCAAGTGATAAGATTTTGAGCCAATCTAGCTACTCTGAATAATCAGCAATAATTCATGGTAGATCTACATTTCTTCACTTTGTAGTTTGTTAAAATTGTAGAAACTTCCCATTGTTTTTTTTTTTTTTTTTTTAGGGGGAACTT